ACTTGGTGATTCTAAATTGTCTGTAGGTGGGAATGTGAGTGTGCTTGGTTGTCTGTCTCTAAGTGTAGCCCTGTGATAGACTGGTTACCTGTCCAGGTGAACCTGCCTTCACCCTGAGTCAGTTGGGATAGACTCCAGCCCCCCATGACCCTAGTGAGGATTAAGGTGTAGAGATGATGGATGGATGGATTACCTAGCGGCGTGTCCACCAGGATGGCTGAGTAGAGTTCGGTCGGGGTGCGAGCGATGCCCACGGCGGCCATTTGGTCAAATGCTCCCAGCGGGTGACACCGTGGGAGCACCTCCTCCACGTCTCTCTGCTTCAGGGCTCCGGTGATCAGCATCACCACATTGTCGATCATGTAGCCGTAACTATGGCAACACAGAGCACACAGTGAATGGATGTCCCCTTTTTTTAGTCTGAATGGCATTTCTATTAAAAAAATAAGGACGTAAGTCTTCACAAATACACTTTGAGTTTCTCAAACTGCACAGCTGGACTGAATGAAATGAGTTTGCACTACATTCTAACAGAGGTCTTGTTTTCTTCGCCTGTTCTCCTCAGCAGCATCTTGACAGAATCAATCTTGGCAGAAGCACCCGTCACACAGTTTTCTTTTGGAGAATGCTTGAAGTTGAAAGAGAACTACTGAGATCAAATGTGCACGTCTTCTCAGCTCTCTGCCTTTATATATCAAAGCATGTGTATCGTACGTTACATAGTCGAGGAATGTGGAGAGCGGCGGCAGGGCGTTGGAGCGCAGACAGCTGAACTCGGTCACCAGGTTCTCCCTCAGCTTGCTGTCCACCAGAGACACCGTCAGGTCTTCTTCGGACGAGGACAGCAGTTTGCCGTAATCTGTGCTCTGGAGGTGCAGCTTCATGTCTGAGGAGGAGACATTTGTTGTGTGCTCTGCTCTAAAATCAGCAGCTCCACAAAGAATCGGGAAGAAATGAATCATAAACAGTAAATGATTCACTCAGAGCTATTTCTGACCCTCGAGTTAAACTCATTACAGCTGATGTTGACTAACTAAACACACAAACATGTGCCAAATACTGAGATTCTGGAGTTTGTTTTTCTGGTGATTTGTCTCTAAGACTTCTTTCTAAATTACTGATGCCCTTATACGTGGAGGGAACATTCAAATTATCTTCGTGATAAATGAACTCCAGGTGTACAAACTGTTCAGAGAAGGTCATTGCTGTCAGGACTAGTTGTAGCAACACCCACGCAAACATGCACAAGAGTAGCTGCGGCTATAATACAGAAGGAAAGCTTTAGAAAAACTAAGAATTGAGTGACTTTTACCCTCGAGTGTGTCGCACTGAGCCAGATTATGATAATCAGCCTGAGTCAGAATCCCGGCTTTCATTCCTCGGACCAGACCCTCCAGATATCCGTGGTCCACGTTGAAACTGAGCTCCTGACACGATGCCATGATGCCAAATGACTTCTCACCAAGCCCGGCTGCAGTTAGTCTGGTTTTAAATGTTTTTTTTCTTTTTTTCTTTACAGTAACTTCTGCATCTGACTAACGTTCATGCAGTCATTTTCCCTTCCTCTTTGACACCAAGAAATTCCATAACTGCCCTAAAATTGTTCACAGTCACAGTTCCTGTTCCCCTGTTCCCATTCAGTCTGGCTGCGACAGATCAGATATTGTTCATTCTAGCCCACTCTGCTGTGTACAGAGAGAGAAAGAATCTCTCTTTTCAGAAAACAGATCAGTCACAACTGTCAAACCGCTTGCAGGTGATGTGAATAACAGTCATTTCCTCCGACAAAGCACCTGTCAGAGGGTGGATACATTAGGCAGCAGGTAGCCTCACTCCTCAGGTAAAGATTGCAGGTTTCAGCCTGCCATTGGCCGCATATTTCACACATCTTCCACCTCCTCTCCCTCCATTATAATCCTGTTACTCAGCAACCTACCACACTGAACACTGAAGTGTTGCACAGGATTTGAATATGTTTTTAATGTGAATTAACCATTTAAATCACAGCGCTCACCTCCCTGCATGCAAATGTTCCACCAAACACTTCACTGTTTCAGAGGGACACTGTTGCTGCATTCTGGGCTCAACGCCGCTCAAGACGAGTGACTGGTTTAAAGAAATACAAACAAGGCAGAGCGTTTATCCCCCTATAGGTGCAGCACAGAATGGCCTGACTTCAAGATTAGGTAAAAAAAAAAAAGTGCAGCATAAGGTAGGGCAGGGTGATATGGCCAAAAATATTTATCAAGATAGAAATGAGAACATTTACGATAACGATATAATTGACGCCGAACAAAATACTGCAAAACTGCACAACTTTATTGTTTTATTAAAAGAACAACTTCTTTTCCATTTAGCAAGCAGGTGTTCTTGATGTGCATTCAAGCTGTATTGTACCAAAATCAATAGTGCATAAGTTGTAAATTGCTGGCTGATAGTTTATTCGGATCTCAACATTGCTATCTGGACGCCACCACAACAACCAAATACTCCGATATTCGGGTCCAGCCCTACTGTGTTGGCAATGCATTTGCCCTCCTCCTCGGTCACGGCCATGCTTCTCGCTCCATGTGCATTAGACCGGACCAAAACAACGGCACTGCGCGTTTCACTCAAATTTTATCGCGATATTTCAATTTCATACCATCCCCTAGCATTACACTGGTGTCACCGTGCATGGTATGATATGGCCCAGCCCTAGCGTAAGGATTTGAACGAGTTTGACAAGAGCCAAGTTGTGATAATTCACTTGGTCAGATCATCACCTGTGGGATGTTCCTGGTATGCAGTAGTTAGTACCTAGCAGAAATGGTCCGAGGAAGGACAACCAGTGATGAATTTGTGGCAACTAAAGTCTCCCTGATGTGTGTGGGGAGTAAAGACTGGTCTGTGCTATCCAATCATACACAGAGGGAGCTGCTGAAAACCTGAACGCTGCTTTGACAGAAAGGTGTCAGAACACAGTAAATTGTATGTGTGGTTACACAGCTGCAGACCAGTTTGACACCTGCCCATTACCGAAAGAACAAGCTTCAGAAGTGATCCATGTTTTCTTTTCTTCATTGTTTACCTGGAAACTGAAAGGAAGCAGGATGTTCTGTGGGGAGGCGGTGGAAGCAGTGAGCTCCTCTGACCAATGTTCCCGCTGGGACCTCCTGAGTTCTGGCATTCATGTTGATGTTACCTTGACACAGACCAGCTACCTAAATACTGCCTGTCGACCACATACCCCCCTGCATGACATAATGATCATGACTCCAGGAGGATAATGTTCCGTGTCACACTGTAAACACTACTCATGAACGGTGTGAGGAGAATCCAAAGTGTTGGCTCTGCCTTCAAACTCCCCACCTCCGATCGAGCATCTGTGGAATGTGGCGGAAAAACAAGTCAGATCAATGGCGGAGCCCACCTCACAACTTCCAGGACTTAAAGGATCTGCTGCTGACCTCCTCGTGACTGGTACCATGGGGGACTTTCTTGTGGAGTTGAAGCTCTGGCGGCGTCTTGACAGCATGATGTGGATCTGCACAGTGTCAGGCAGGTGGTTTCACTTTGGCGGGCTTTGGTTTGCGTCATAATGCACGAAGCTAGAGAGCTTTTAGAGTATTGATGTTCAGTTAATGTCTGTATAAGTCTAATATTCTTGCATTGGATTAATTCTGCTCAAAACCAGACAGCAGACTGTTTCTGTGGGAAGTGAAGAGGATGCCATTGATCACACTTATGTTTCTTATAACAGCAACCGTTGCTCATGAGTTCCTCCCCGTATGGACAACTGTTTCTGATTTCTGATGTTACATAACAAGACGCAGTACACGGGTTCAGTCCTGTGAACCTCAACGAGTTGCTCTGTGATGGATGCGAGGCTAAACTGTTGGTCCCTTTTCAGAAACACCTCGCTTCTCTCCCGAACGCATGATCTCTGTGAAATGGATTACCATTCATAACAGAGCGGCTCCTGTTACGCCACATCAGATGTGTCCGTTTGACCGGCTCCTCTTTTATGTCCCAGGCAAATTAATAATGTAAAACAAACAGAGACTTCCTGGGTAGGATTTAATGGAATTCGCACAAAACTGACATCAAGATGTGTCTACGCACGCAACACGGGGAATGTCTCTCTGCTTTTTTATGTAATCGTCCGAGGAAGGTTTACGAAGCGGTCCGTGGTTATCCTCCCAGAAAGAAATGTCAAAGTAACTTCAATTATCTTAACAATTTAAAGCCACTTCCTCCCATACAACAACACAAAAAATGACTTGTCCCTTTTCTTTTTGAGAATTTTAGAACATTCAAACTGAAAGAAAGTGCGAGAGCAATGCAGGCTTACGACAGACAGCATTTATTTAATAGCAAAAATATAAACAAACTTCAGCTCATAAATCCACACACGAATAACTAGTGATTTCACAACGGGGACCCGAATATGTGTCAAGGCATTGCTTACATAAATGCACTTTTTTTATGTAGAATTAAAAAAAAAAAAAAGACATATATGTTTTGATGTAACTCCAAATAACTGAGGTCCTCACATGATTAGCACGGCGAGAGGGTAGAAATGATAAACATACTTAAAAGCATCACGAGTGCCGGAAATACCCAGGGCATAACACACGGCTAACACACGTATGTGACACGTCTACATAAATCCCCCATACTGTGTCACACCTACGTAATATATGTTGGACTATTTTCTGTATTATTATATATTTTTTAATATATTCTTGCTGCACGGAAATGAAAAAACTCTCCACCAGGCGGCTTTATTCTTTAATTCACAGAATATGCAAAGAGCTTTTACCTGTAACATCCGTCTGTGTTGCCAGCTTCCTCTTAATAATGTTGACTGGAACTGCCAGAGAGCAAAACCAACAAGCCAGAAGGCAGTCTATGTGAATACCTCTATGTGTTATCTGCTACTGTGTGTGTCCAGGTGCTGGGGTGTAATTGTGCATGCATGTGCATGTGTTGGTGTGTGAGTTCGTGCATCCTGTCTAGGTCTTCTTTAAGCACAGAGGGTTCATCCTCCAGCAGTGGCAGATGGTGTTGAAGAGCCGACAGCGGCAGGAGGCGCAGGGGTCGCAGCACGGCACATGCGAGGAGCAGCTTTCCATCAAGCGTCCGCAGCGGCGTGCAGGGGCCATGAGGTTTGGTTTGTGTTTCTGAAACAACAGAGAGAGAGTCCACAGAAACAGAAATGGAAAAGCCATTAAAATCCCAAATGCACCGTTTAAATCGTGGCTCCTGTTGTGAGAAAACACACATTACACAAATACTGTAAGTGCAGACGGTCAGAAGTTAAAGCTCATATTATTATTATTATGTAAAGGGTGGTTTAAATTTCTGTTTGCTATGTGAAAGGGATGAGTGATTCATTCCTGCAGAGCCTTTTAGTATGTTTTAGCTCATGCTCAGCTCTGTTTTTTGTTTTTTTTGTTCTGTAAATGTTTTGAGTCGCTCTTGTCAGCACCAGTTTCAGAAGGCAAGCAGACAGTAATCAGTTTGTTCCACAGAAACATCTGAGAAGTTCTCCTTGGAAACTAAATGAAGCACTTTGTAAGAACGCTTCAAAGATGACTGAATGAACTTTTTGTCTATCACGGGCTAACTGCAAGCAGCAACACAGCAAACACGGAAATGCAAAAAACACTGCAGTTCCTCAAACGTCCACTTGAGGCAGCCTCCACAAGCGAGTCAGTTCCCACAAACCTTAATTTTAAATTGTCCAACGTTACAGCAGAAATAAACATGTTTACAGCCTGCTATAATAAACGGTGTTGGTCTCTATGGCTGATTTCTTTCCTCACGACAAATTTATGGGGGTGAATTTTTATACAACTCAGCCATTAAAATTGTATTGAGGCCAAAGATGTGACACGTGGGCGCCATCACAGGACAGTCCAGGTCCCGACTCAGCTCGGCTTCTTTGCTCATCTTTGTGTTACTCAAAGATGTGGATGCTGCCAAGATGGCTGGAGCCACCACACGGGAGCTCACAACTGTTTTCCAACCTGTGTGTTGGTCTGTCGTCACAGATGGTCAATAACTAGCTAACACAAAAAACAAACGGACTTGTGGATCGACCACAAACATACAGGTGGAAATCTGGAAGGATAGCCTCTCCTGTACCGTGAGCTCGCAGATCTTGCAGTGATCCAGCGAAAAAAGAACTAAAAGAAACTGAGCTGGAACTGGTGTAATCTACCAGCCCAACAGTCAAAGTTAGCAACCTGCTGGAGAACCTGGTGGAGCATTTAGCCGCTAATGGGACAGATATATCTGTTATTTGATGGGAACTAAAACAGAGCTAAAAAGGGGCAAGAATCAGACTTATAATTAACAGCTAGGCTTCAAACAAATGCTAAAGTGTAAAGCTCCGGGACCAGTGTCACAAAAGATATATTTCAAACCCAAACTACAAACTAGGAGTTTTTCCCTTCAGACGATCAACCAGACGATCTCCTACAAAGAGATCCTGCAGCGTTTGCTGGACGACATCAAGATGGCGGTGACGATGGATCCCGGAAGAATCCTGTCCTGGAACTTTTCTGACACACCTTGTATTTCTACTAGAAGTGTAACTAATCAGCTGTGTGCCAACCTTAGAGTTATACCAACTTCATAAGGTGGTAATATAATATCTGTTATACACTGTCATCCATCCATCATCTCTACACCTTAATCCTCACTAGGGTCATGGGGGGCTGGAGTCTATCCCAGCTGACTCAGGGTGAAGGCAGGTTCACCTGGACAGGTCACCAGTCTATCACAGGGCTACACTTAGAGACAGACAACCAAGCACACTCACATTCACACCTACGGACAATTTACAATCACCAATTAACCTCAACATGTTTCTGGACTGTGGGAGGAAGCCAGAGAACCCGGAGAGAACCCACGCTGCACGGGGAGAACATGGAGACTCCACGCAGAAAGATCCCAGGTGTCCTCACGGGACGCCAACCGGCAACCTTCTAGCTGCGAGGCAACGGTGCTAACCACCGAGCCACCTTGCAGCCCCATTTCAATTATTAAGACATTTTATTTGCTGAAAATTGTGGTGAAAACTGGGTAGAGTTAAAGTCCTTATAGGCAGGTCTCACCACTCAGCAGCCAGCTCACGTCCATGCAGTTACTTCAAGACAAGGCGTCTATCTAAATAAATCTGGAGAAAGCTTTAATCTCTGTCTCTATCACCACCGAGACATAAAAACTGCATTTATTAAATCCTCAGTCGAATGTGATGAAATAAAATCCTTAGAAAGTTTGGTAACTTTACCCCCAAATGACATTCAAAAAGCTTTTTTTCCCCCTGGAGATGATCCTTGTGTTACATATGCGCACAGTTTCACAACAATGTGCTCAAGTCAGTGTAACAACACGACTGATTTTATGTTTCCTGCTGTCCAAGTGTAAAACATGTGTTTTTCTAACTCTGCAGCTCCTTTGGGAGGAATATTTGTACTGAAACTGTCCACTGCAGGAGCATTCACATAAACAACTGAAATACAAAACTTACGCTGCCGGCTGCCTTCAACATTTGCAATCAAGCACTCACAGAAAAGTGAGTAAACATACAGACACACATCATATGACAAAGCAGAACGACGAATACTCACAAGATTTTGATTTTGTTGCGGTGGAGCAATCTTTTGCCTCGCAAACAGCCGTCTGGTCTTGGCTTGGCCCAAAACTGTAATTAACAGAAGATGTCATTGATTAAAAATGTTCTTATTTTGATTAGCTTCGTACTGTCTGTCAGCAGGAGAAGAGGAAACCCCTTCCCACAATCTCTTGAGCTCTACAACGTGCTATTCTGCTGTTGATGAACAAACAAGAACACAGCTCAACGTTTAGTTTCCTCGCTGTGCTGTGTCCGGTCGACACTTCACGAGAAGACCTCCAGAGCGCTTAGTGGTTTTTTTGCTGATGTTGTAACACAGCAGACGTCCAGCTGATTGGTGCAAAAGTATAAAAGGATGTGTAATTACATAGACGTCAGAGCAGCTCCCGCTCTCCCCTCCAACCAAGAATTTGGCCTCTTCACATAAAACGGATGAGATAAACTGTGCAGCGCCTTAAATTAAAACAACGTAACACTGTAGTTGTGGACAGAAAACAGATATCAGTCCAAGCAGGACAACAAACAAAAAAGGAAAAACAAAAACAACCATAAAGCACACATGCCTGACTAACACATTACAGCTGGACGCAAGACCGATTTCAAAATAAAAGAAGCACTTTGTTGTGGACCCCCTGCCCCCCAACATCCGTTTAAAAACCCTCCCCACTTTGTATACGGTACACGACACCTATTCATTAGTCCATCCGGCAGATGTGACCGTTTGTCATTCCGCCAGCTGTCGGCTCCTCGCTCTATCAGAAACTGGCATTTTATTGCCAACGTATATTGCAGAGTCATGAGGCTCGGCTGCTAATAAACAACATCCAGAATGCAGTTTTAACCACATGGGTTCATCACCCCCAAAGAGGAGGCGTGAAGAGCCTGTGCCTCGTCAACTGACTCGAGGATAAACAACTTGGCAAGTTGGTGTGCTTCCAGAAATTATGACATCCATAGCTCCAGTAGCTCTACATTTGCTCTGTAATATGGTGGATGACATGTACACAAACGAGCTGCGTGTACATGAACGCGTTGCAAAAACATAAACGCGCCGCAAATAGAAAACGCTGCATATCCAGTCACACAGCGGAAGTGCCACAGGCCTCTAGGGGCAGTAGTGAACTCTTCACCTGAGAGGCAGACAACGGTGAGCGAGACGAGTGACGTTAGTTGAGGGTGTTCTCGTGGATTAATCGTAGCAACTTAAGGAGTTAAGGAGTCATTAACGCCTGAGTTTCGGTGAGTAACAACCCCAAATTGAAACCGAAACTCGGGTGTTAACGGCTCCTTCAGGATGTCAGTATCTGGAACTCCCAACTAGTCAGTCAGAGCTGATGGAGCCTCTTGGATGAAGGTGGAACGTCTTCATGAACTCAAGCGAGTCCAGCGGCTATGATTAATAACCGTGACCTGGATGGCTGAGAATCTTCACAGACACGCTAGTTGAGGGCGTAACAGCCATTTGTTTATGTGTTTGCTCATTCATTCCTTTTCGTTGCACTACATGCTTGTTCCCGGTGGAAGTATACTCCCGGTGAAAGGTTTTTGACGATGTATAGGTAACTGCAAATGGGGGCAGTACGTTTAACAGGCTACCTAATTGCTATATGTTGCTTATTTGTGAAAACAAAAAAGAAGCAAAACAACACAAAGTGGACATCGTTTCGTGTGAGACAAGCCTGGCGTGCGCGTCAAATTGCAAAATCATGTACCGACAGTAAGGAACAGTGGAAAGCCACTGACGGTGGGGAAAGCTGTATGAAAAGGTCTGTATTCCATATAACAAACATAAATAAGAGAGAGAACACAGGGAGACGGTGTTAAAACTCCCCTTCAGCACCCATATAATCACAGCGGCTGAAAAGCTGAAGACCCCAGAGGCCTGTGGCACTTCCGTCATGTGACTGGATACGCACCGTTTTCCTTTGGCAGCTCGTTTGTGTGAATGCATTTATCCCCGTCGGCCACTGTAAGCAATCTAATAAAACGCAGCACCACTGACCTGAAAAAGTGGTCTCCTTCCATGTGGAGGCCCCTCAGAGAGAACGGAAATCTGTCATTAGGTGGGTTTGTAAGTACAAACAGCTGAACGATGTCTGGGTTCCTGGCTTCAAGCGACACACGATGTTTGCGAGTGATTCGCTTCAGTCCATCCTTATGAAACTTTGCTGAAAAGCATTTTCATCACCCGATTAATTCGTACTTTTCTAGAATTTGTTCCCTGTTTTCGTTGCCACCCCTCCTCCATACTCCTCCTGCATCATTTGTCACAGAGTGGGAATCAGAACCATCCACAGCTCCCTGCTCTTATTCCTGCTGGATAATACTGAGAATCACACTCAGTAACACGTGGTTGGAGAAAAAAAACTGGCTGACTTTACAGACCTCATTAAATACTTTTTTTGGAAGACGCAACCTTGTTTTTACAGCGCGTGAAAAGCTTTAAATGTCGAGTTTATTGCAACGCGATCGTAGCTTTGTCTGTCTTCATCAGTAATAGTGAAATAAGAGGTGCCTCTGCAGAGCTGCTAACAGCTTCGTCGATCTCCTGAAGTGATGTCATCCTGTCATTCAGACTTTTCTGCTAATGCTCCACGAGGTTTCAATAACATTTAACAATTATGTTTTGGAAGGAAACACGTTTTCTCCTTGAGAGTTAAGACTGTGACAGAGTACGAAAGACTTCCAGTTTAAAGGAGTCACAACGCCCACGTAAAGGCTAGCTCATTGCTTCCACATGAGGGATGTGGACTTTGAAAGCAGACAGTTCCATTCTTACATATGTGTTGGTCTGCCACACAGATGGCCGTGCCTCCAATGTTGAACACAGTAACACACAGGGGTCCCGTGGCTGTTTCTGGCTCCGTTTGGGAATGCGTTCACGAATCCGAGCGCCTCCGAAGCCCAGCAGTGACAATTCCAACTACAACTCTTTGAAAGATGTATGATGATGACCTTTGCAGTCATGCGTGGATGCCAAAACGTACGTCACATGGACACGGACAGCATGGATTTGTCTTTAGGAGGTAACGTGGAAGCATAAGTCAGGACCATTAGTCTTAAACATTGGTGTCATTTCCATTTGTTTGGTTGGTATCAGGCTTTGGTTGACATGGTAACTACATGTTGGAACCATGGTTGGGTTACTTTCAGGAAACTGTCATGGTTAATGGTAAAATAATAAGATTCTTTAACAACATGCTTGAAGCTTTTTCTCCATTTTCTAGGTTACCAGGGTCTTATTTAGTACAGGACTGACTGGACGAGGAGAAGCAACAGCAGAGCAATAAGTGTAAATACAACCTCAAATGTAGAATGCAATTCAGTTGTTAAGGACTGTCATTTTTGGAGAGATGAGGCAGAAAATCAAATGATGCAGAATACGTACTAATGCACAATTGAACATAAGATTGCATGTAAATAACAGCAGCTTATCAAACTGTCCAAATAACTCATAGCTGAGTTTGTTTATGATTTCCTAAACATTGAAATCCTGTCCACGTTTGATGATAATCGTTCTACCAACAGTAGAATGATACCATCTAGCAGCTGTGATGAAGCAGCTGTTCGGTCCTGATCCATCCTGTCTCCATGCTGGAGATCATTTATAATTATAAGTAATGCTGCTATTATTGTGCCTAAATGTGTGCAACAGCTTTATTCTTATGTGTGCGTTTTATTTCTAATAGATGTGAGGTGGGCGTCACTCTGGTGTATCAGACTCATGACCTGTTGAAGTTTGGTTCGCGTGACATAATCAAGCTGTTTCCTGTAAGGGTCATAGACTGTGTTCACTGTGTTTTTGGGTTTTTCCTGCTTTTGTGTTTTGGTGGGCGTGTTATTTTTGTGTAGGCTGGGCGGAGCCGATCGGGGAAGGACTCTCACGCTGGTAGCTGCGGCTCATCAGCCGTGCCCTGCTTAAATACTGGCGTCTCACAGAAGACCGACGCCAGAGGATTGTGATACCTGCCTCGTGGTACAGTCAGGCTGCTAGCTGATACAACTCGCTGAGCATTCCAAGCACTTTTTATGTTCTCTAGTCTCGAGTTTATTGGATGTGTTTCTCTGCCTGTTTCCAGTTCTCCTCCTCGGCTTCAGCACTTGGCACACCTCCAGGCACTCCAGCGTTTGGCACCCACGGGAATTCACGACCACGGACACCTTCACCTCGAGACCCTTCACGAGAGCACCCACCCCCACGAGCACTGAACCCTGAGCACCGGACCCCTGCGCACCACCCTGGTTTCCCTCGTCACGGCTCCCTCTCTGCACCAGGAAAACCCCCACGGACCAAGGCACTCACAGGCACCGGCTTTTCGTGCACCACCCTCGGGACCTCCCTTCCTTGGATCACGGCACCGAAGACTCCACTTCTCCCTCTCCACGACTGACATCCCTGCACCAGATCCCACCACCGGTTTTCCCCCCTCCAGTTAAATAAAACCTTTTCACTAAACCTTTCCCTTTTTGTCTTTCCCTTCGTGTGGATCCGCCCTCACAGTTACCGAGCACGACCCGTCACAGTTTCCATTGGAAACGTGCAAACATCATCGCCTAAAGAAGCCCGTGACATGCACTTGACAGCTCTGGAGAAAATGTGTAAATATTTCTCTTCTGAAATGGTTTTAACTTTGGACTCATTTCTCTTTTTCTTCTTCTGCTAACACATTTGGAACGGGCCTCAATAGTCAATAGCTCCATTGTGTACGTCTGACTTTGCCAAATCACAGTTAAAAGAGGATGTGGAGCACAGTCTATGGGGCGTTTTCTTTGTTCCTCCAGCAGACTTCACCACGTCTGATCGACATCTGTATGGATGGATGGAATGGACTGTTATTTGCTTTGAAGCAGGTTGGTGTGTTTCCATAAACATGTGGTGCTGGACCGGTATCCGATGCCTGGTGGTACCATGACTTTTACAGACATAAGTAGTGGATAAGATTTTCTGTCTTCTACTGGAAATCAAAGTGATCTGACTCCATATGGCCTCGAAGTTCTTTTGATCACCTCGATCATGGACGTGATCCGAGTTCAGAAAGGCACCAAGTCAAAGCTCCTCTTTCTTGGCTCTCATCTCTTTTCTCTTCCCTCCTGACTGACAGTTGTTGCACCTTAACTTATCTCTGACCAGATGTTTAAACCTGACATGTTAAAGGGTAGAAAATACCTCCATACATCTCCGTCATATTGTATTTGTCTCTGCCTGCCGAGACTCTTATCTGCATTTCGGATCAACTCCAAAAGTTAGACAAAACATCATGTGTCTCAGGAAGGTGTTGGACCACCACTCGCCACCAGAAATGTGGAGCTATAGACAGGAAGGACATCCAAAACCGCCCACCGCTATCTGTTATACTAACACAACCAGTTTCCAACGTGCTCCGAGCCATTAGCCGCCTCGCAGTGACCCACATAGTGTTTCTAACAACCATCCAGATCCATTGTTGAATAACCGTCCGAGCCACGCTCAGTATGATTACAAAGGGTGAAATCGGTTGTTTCGAAAAAATGTTGTTTCAAATTAGACTGTGACGGTTTAACTGAAAACAAAATAGAGGAGAGGAAAAATAATCTGCCTAGAAAAAAAAGAATAAAACAAAAAACTGAACTTAGTCGGGGCTGATTGTCTCATTTCATAGAGCAGGTGTTTATTCTCCTTAACGTGTTTCTGACTTTAAATCTGCAGGAAGAGTTTGACAAGCGAACCTGCTCTGCATGGGGATGGAAATCCTGAAAACTTCTAACAAGGGGTGACATAGAAACACACAACGTTTGTTTTTTAAAGTAAACGTACTAAAGTTACTTGAAGGTTCAGCATGCTGCAGTGTTGTTGACTAGACAGAAATGCAGACACTGCTGCTCTTTATTTTATCATTCTGTTTTCACGCTGGCCGTCCACAGCACATCTGGTTAGCTGAGTTTTCATACTAAGAGCAAAGAGGTGGGATGCATATATTCCAACACATACCTATATGGAGATACATCCAAATTGTGATGGAAGGATTTGAAGTCAGTAAATAAACTTGCAGCCAAACAGACTTGAGCACGGACTCGCCCTCTTGGCCTTGGGCCGCAGTCATCTGCAAGGCTGTCATCAGCGCAGCCTCAGTGCACTGTGGCATCGATTGCCCAAGGCTCTCGAATCGTATTGAAGGGCAAAAACATAATTCTTTCAAAACATATTTTTTCATTTGGTGGTTTTAGAAGATAGCAGTGGAGAGTGTTGGTCTGAAATCCCCCAGAAGTGTTCAACTGGGTGGAGATGTAAGAAGAGGAAGAGGAATTTGCTTTGTTTTGTTTCTGACCACTTTCACCACAGTCATCACACATGCCGGCAAAATGCCTCCAGCGGCATAACAAAGCCACCACTGGAGGCGTAACAGGTTGTATATGGTGAACTCATCTCACCATATCACTGGTTCCCACACCTCTGTTGTTTTTGCACATTAATCTTCAAGGGGTTCACCAACTACCATCCATCCCTTAACAATGAACCATCTTTCAAAGCCCCTGAGACTTATTTCTTCGTGCCATTCTGGACGTTAGCTGCTTTGTTCTGCCATGCAGTGCACCTCAGCAGAACAAGGATCGACCCGTTATCGGTGGAAGATATTCTGATGAATCAGCAAAACTGTTTGTGGAGAAGATAACTTCTGAAGCTCAATGCTGCAATCTTACGCAAGCACATTCAGTTTTTCTGTTACGCTCAAATCCCTTTGAGCTTTGCCGTGCCTCTTAGCGTGCAGCTAACGCTATAAGGAGCACCGTCACATAAATTAATACACGCCTGCGAAAAACTGAACAAGAAGCCCAGCCATTGCTGCTAATTAGGAAATCGGTTGCTTTTACGGTGGAGAAGGATGTGCTAAAGGCTAGCAGCTAAGTTAGGAAGCAGCCACAGATTAGCCTGAAACAGTGCCAGGAAAAACAACCTCAAGTAATGGTGCAAGAAATCAGTCTTAGCGGCCCTGAACACAACACACTCCCACATCTCTACACCTTAATCCTCACTAGGATCGTGGGGGGCGGAGTCTATCCCAGCTGACTCAGGGTGAAGACAGGTTCACCTGGACAGGTAACCAGTCTATCACAGGGCTACACTTAGAGACAGACAACCAGGCACACTCACATTCACACCTACGGACAATTTACAATCACCAATTAACCTCAACATGTTTCTGGACTGTGGGAGGAAACCAGAGAACCCGGAGAGAACCCACGCTGCACGGGAAGAACATGGAGACTCCACGCAGAAAGATCCCGGGTGTCCTCACCGAGACGTGAACCTACGACCTTCTAGCTGCGAGGCGACGGTGCTAACCACCGATCACCACCTTGCAGCCCCTCCTTGTTTGCTTGAAATACAAATTTTTCTGTGAAATCATCATCATCCTTCTCTGACTTCATCGTCTATCAGGTCCTTCCTACATTTTCTAAATCAAAACATAATACATGGTTGATTTTCTGTCCATATTTTGTGCACTGTTCCATTTTTTCTAGTGATGTAAACAGAGGAGAAATTGGCAGCTAAACAGCCGAGCATTCCCCCCCGAGGCTCAGTGGACTAAAACATTCATTCAATATGTAATTAATGTGAGAACTTGAGATGAACAGTAAAGCTTCTTCACGTCGGCTGGACCCATGTCAAATGCTTGCAAACACTCTGGCCTCAAGTGTGAGATCAAGGAGTTTGTTTTCTTCCCCCCATCTACTGAAAATCCATCTCACATGACTCATGCTGTGCTCCATTTTTATCCCAGAAGCTAGAAGTGAGCGCTGGGAGAGATGTTTCACCCTGTTCCAGAACAGCAGGTCCAAAAGAACCACACCTGTTTAGCGATTTGCAACATGTCGACAGATGGACATAACTCCTGATTTAACGAAGCACAAATTGCTAATAAACTGTTGAACATCATTACACCTGTCGCTAGCGTTGAGGCTCTGTTACTGTTCTAGTTGGCATTTTAAACTTCTGACTTCCCAGCTCAAACACAAAACACCGACAAGCAGAAATCACACGGTTAATTTGTTAAAATCAGATTCACATTTTTTCGTTTCGTTAAAACCGAATGGCTGGGACTAACGACGAAGGTGACTGGACGCTTCACCTTCATCCAGGAGGTTTTCTCCCTCATTAACACGGATAACGTCTACGAACAGCCCAAGACTCCCTACAGGTGGAAACGTTTGGGTCACGTTGCTGTAAAGTTCTGTTAATCCTTATATTCCGGTGGGTGGCGGGACTCTGTAGGTATCGATCTACGAGTGTGGGCTTCCAGTAGCACCGTTTATAGACTTGAGACGGCAGCGTTAACACCTTGAGCCACCCCTCACCTGGCAGCTTCACAGACAGAATAACTAACTCCTCATCAGTCGGTCTAAACTAAAAAAAGTGAGCATCCCAGACTCGTGAACTAACAGCCCGTTAATTGCTACCTGAGCGTTAAATAAGCCGTACAGCTGCGGTACTACGAGCTCCTCAGTTCTCCTCTCAGGCACCTAAACTCAAAGCAGCAGTCCTCTACGGACGCTGATTTATTTCCTTACGTCATTTTTTATTTTTTTTTGTCGAGGCCAGACACTGATGTGTGTCTAAAATAAGTGCTGGAAGACAAAATCCAGTCCCGGTTCTGTGCAGAAACACATTTCACAGTTGATCCGAGGATGACATGTAAAGCCTGAGTGGGCCAAACCCAGTGGATGTGTTGTTCAAGGACAACCACAGCAGGAGCTTTTGAACAAATCTCAAACAAGCACATCAAACTTTTTGAATTTAGAAGCTAATCATAACAACAACCAGACTTTTTTTGCCTGTATATTTGATCAGATCTAGTCATATAATACAGAATGCAATCAAATGAAGGGACACAAAGTTCATGTGTTGTGATTATGATGAGTTGTTGTGTATAAACTTGGGTTTGGCGGAATAAATCTGACTAATTGTGCAAATACAACAAACCTCTGTCTGTCTGTCTGTCCTCCCCCCTCTCCTGTTAATCTATTTGTGGATCAAATATTGAGCAAACAAAATCATCTGATCTTGTGATGTCCACATGGATTATTTCGGAAACATCCTTTAAGCTCAAAGCACAGGGGGGAAAAAAACTAATAAAAATAAATGGTCCCCCCATAAACATGATAGAACCTCACCTGAGGTGTTCTCCGTCTTCCTCGCATCTTTCTTCGTGTCCTCTGCCCAGCTCAGCGGGAAGGCGAGCAGCAAGAGGCACAGCAAGTGTTTGGCGCTGATCTTCCACATGATGGTGATGGTCAGATCTGGAGGTGGAAGAATAAAAACATCAATCAGAAACCAAAGTATGAGTAGAAGCAGGAAAAAATATGAAACATCCACGACTCACGTCCTAGCTGGTCAGTAAATCCTCCCTGGAGCTCGGTCAGCGTTGTTTTGTGGCTGTGAGGAGGCTCCGCTGAGGACTGATGAGGCGCGCGGAGCTGGACGCGCCGCCCCCCGACATGACGGACCGCGCGCCGCAGGAGATGCTGCTGCTGGAGCCGGATCACAGATAACAGGCTGGAAAAGCCATGAGAGGACACTGTGGTCTGCCCCCGAGGCTCACAGCTCCCTCACCAGCCCGAACCCGAACCCTCGTTACATGCTCACTAATTAGGCAAGTTATCGATTTCCAAGGATTCATTTCTGTCTGTTGAAATATATCAGGGCGGGAAGAGTCTCCAGCAGCGCAGCGTTTATTAAGAAATGATCTAATAATGCTTAGAATGACATATTTTAATGTAAAGTTCACAGAAGGGTTAGCGATTCTACCAAAGAGGGGCTTAATACCTGATGAGTGGTGACTCTGATCCCCAAAGTGCAAAAACTGTAAGAAAAAAGCAAAGAAAGAAAGAAAGAAAGAAAGAAAGTCTGTAAAAGAAAACTGTGAAAGTCTGGTAGACACAAAAAATATATTTAAAAATGGTATAATAATGTTATGATTAATAACTGGGGGAAAAAATGGTACAAATAATGGGAATTAATGGTGAAACAATTGTGCTTTCTGGCTGATTTAAATACAGTAAAACTGTCATTTTACGATTTTTTGTGTATGAATAAATTACTGTTTTTTTAAAAAAAAATGCAGATTTTTTGTGAACATCATGTACAGTTTGGATGTTTTATTTGTTCCTAGTGTTACATGTCAATATTTTTTTGTTTTTAATAAATTCACTCTAATATTATATAGATATTATATGTAATTTAACAAACAGGGAAAATCTGTACAATAACAGCTAAAAAGGCTTTTCCCCTCCTCCAATCCTTGATATACCTATTTTTCCTTTCAAATAATGGTAAAACAGCTATAAAACTGTGCTGTTTGTAGCTGATTTAAACACATGACATTTTTTTTGTTTTTAATCCTGCCAGTTGTGTTTCTGTGGTGAATGAGAAAAGAAGAGAAGAACGATCCGCACACCAAAAACAGGCTCCCTTATACAATTTATTGGCGTGACGTTTCGAGCAAAATGCTCTTCATCAGAATTTTGTTCGAAACGTCACACCAATAAATTGTATAAAGGAGCCTGTTTTTGGTGTGCGGATCGTTCTTCTCTTCTTTTCTCATTTTTGACGTTTTGTGATCCAGCACCCAACCCAGTGGGCCTCGGGGATGTGCGCGCCTTTCCTTCTTTAGACTTCTGTGGTGAATGATACCAAAAATCTAACATGAGTCAGGATGCAGAGCTGAAAATCAGAGGCGCCATCTTTTCTCCAAAGTCCAGTCGTTCACATATTACAGATAAAAGTTCAAACTACTGGATGAACTTTATGTGACTTTCACGTAAACAGTGACATCCACTTTGTGCGTTCATATAAAACACGTCGGGGTTTATGGTGAGTTTTAGTTTCATTAATAGGTTTCCTCTGGTTAGAAACGACCTAAACAAGTCACAAAGACAGTTGTGTTGGGATTCAAGGAACTTTATTTGTCGTGCCAGCTCACATTTGTGGTACGAAATTAGTACTCAGATCCCGTTTTGTTAAGAAAAAGTCGAATAAATAATAAGTACAGTAAAACAAGAGCAAAATATAAGTAAAGATACAGCAATACAAGTGTAGTAAAACAATATAAACAGAGTAGATAAGCCTTATGTTAAGCACTATTTGTACAGCAGCGAGGTAGACTGGGATATTGCACTTGAGGTGTAAATGATGAATTTTAACTGTCCCTTAGTTTTAGGTAGTTTTAGTAAAAAGTCCAAATGTATTATAACCATTAAGAACATGCAGCTTGTCCACCCCTGCGGAGAGTCCTGTTGTCTGAACTGCAAACCTTCAGATCAGGTATAAACTGACAGCAGCTGTCACAGTATTTCTCCAGTCACTTCCTAATCTGCTGCAGGTCATGACTTGAACCAAACATGCTGGAACGCTCCCTCATCACTGGCTCAAAATGTGTATCTCTAAACTGTACATTTTGCCAGAATCAAAACAGACTTATTGAGCTTTGCATTTCTGTAACGGAGTCGTGCCTCGTAGTTTAAAAAGGGAAATCTGAATCCGTGCAGCAGGAAGCAGAGACATCATCTTGTTGTTCCATGCATTTATCCACGAGGCAGCTCGGGTTTCCACGTGTTGCCTGACAGTCACCCTGACCAGAGACGAGGAGCAGACCACAATCGCCTGGTGAAGTCTTCAAAGCAGACCTGAAAGCAGAACTTTGATGTGTGAGTTTTCCTCTAATAAATCATCAGCATAAAGCACTACCTGTACAATAAAATCAGCAGTTGGAATAAATCAGAACCACATGTGAGGCGAAGGACAGCTGATGCATGTCGAGATTTTTGTTGTCTCGACCGGCCCCGTGGTTTGAAACCGATTTATCTGGCTGCTGTTGCCATAGTAACCTGCAGCTTGCATCACCGTCCTTAGCCTTGTTTTGGCCTCGAGGTGCACGAATCGAGGGCGAACGGAGAGTACAAAAAGTTCTTGAGATGAAGCGAGCTATAAAAATGTGAACTGTCTCGACTGGAGATAAGAGGCTGGAGCAAGCTCCCTGGTGGGTGTCTGTCGTGTCGCAGTAGGAGAAGCTGGGCTGTAAAGAACGATGGCTGAATGACATCTAACTGGGTTCTGGTGCCGTGCATCCAGCGTCATGACCTACTGGTGAATGGATCCTTTATGAACATTATTAATACCACCCAGAACTTGGATGTCAGCTTTGACTGACGGACGGGACACGATATTAATAAAACCAAGACTCTTGAGTTGACTGCTGTAACCTTGAGTGTCCACAGTATGCAGCCTGTAGTAGAGCACCAACATGGTTAGTTTGGACTCTGAATACTTCAAATGCTTGTCTGACAGCTCCTCGGATGAGATCAATCGCAGGAAGAACAACCCAACGTACTGTATCACCCTCTAAATCATGCTTTTGTTGTATTTTTCCTTCCAATGTTGGCAATAAAACAGAGTCATACATACACATCGGTATGTATTTTAAATCATGCACCACGAGGAGTTTGAATGCAGTGCAGCTCCGTTTATTTGAAGCATCTTTGTTAAGACCTCCGTGGAACCAGCTGTGGGCGACTTCGCGGCTCGCTGGGTGGCGGCGACGTGATAATTTGGTTCAACACCGAGTCGTTTGAAAGCATTTATCGGAGCAGAAAAAAAACTAAAACTTGAAGGTTCCAGGGTTTACGCCTTGTGTCGAAATCAAATTTTAATCGTGGGGAAACAAAAAAGGGAGTTCTGCGCCGGTGAGGAACAGTAAAGCTGGTGTGTGTGTGTAAAGTCTGCAGGATAATCGTAGGAACGCTGAGAGGAAACAACTGGAGCTCTCGTTTAGGGTCCTGAAGATGTTTCACGTCTCATCCGAGAAGCTTCACCGACTGTCCAGAACTGAAGAAGCTGCTCTTTTTTTTTTTTTTACTGAAGCTCCCAGTAATAAAGTTTAAAACACACAAAATCAGGTCCTGCTTAAGGAAAAGCTCACATCCGAAGGTGTTTTCGGAAGCAGTTTGAGGTTTTATAGGCAACTTATTCAATTATTTTTCAATATTTGGAGGCAATTATTCTCCCAGCTATCTCTGAACCGACCTCGTTCTGACAACCGGCTGGCACTTTCCAATGTGGCGCTTATAATTACTGTCACAACAACAACCGAAACAACACATCTGTGGGTGCTTTAAGGCCAAAATACATTAATTGCCGAAGCGTTTGCTAATTGCAGCACAACATATGTTTCATATAGACTTCAATATAAATGTGGCCGCTTTCACAGTGGGTGCAGAAAACGCAAGCAGCGAGAGAGACCGGCTAACCACAAGTACGCCCCATTAACCCACAGCAGAGCGCTATAACACAGTGGGAGACGCAGACAAACATTTTTAAAGTCCTGGTCAAACACACTCCAGTATATCTTCCAGGGACCACATCGTTCAGGGAGGAAATTAACTTTATGTGAATCCCTGAATTTAATTTAATTTAATTTAATTTAATTTAATTTAATTTAATTTAATTTAATTTATTTTTTTATTTTATTTTATGTAATTAATTGTATTTTATTGCCCGCGACCCTAGTGAGGATT